TACATATAACCCGGTGAGAATCAAAATGGTTAAAGTCAACGCCTCCTTAATTTGAGATATTTAAAGGTTTTATTAGATTTACTAAAGTGAAAACTCTACAAACTAAAACTATATAAATATATATATATATATATATATATATATATATATATATATATATATATATATATATATATATATATATATATATATATATATATATATATTAGGGTGGGGCATAAAACACCCAAGTCAATAAAAAGAAAAAACTAGAAGAATAAGAGTTTTTGAAGCACTTAGGAACAGTCACAGAAAAAAGATGAGACTTAATTGAATGACGAGTAACACGAGAATGAACTTTAGTAGATGGCACAAGGGACGCTAGCTCTTTAGAGCAGTGCCCATTATAGTATTTGTAGAAAAGAGAAAGAGAAGCAACATTACGACGATGTGACAAAGGTTGGAGATTGGCTGCCAGAGCAGGTCCAACTATGTTTACAATTCGTTTTTGCACCTTGTCTAAAAGAGAAAGAGCATCATTAGAAGATCCGCCCCAGATGTGGCAACAGTATTCCATACAGGGACGGATTTGAGATTTGTAGAGATAGAGAATAGAATCTGGAGTAAGAAAGTGTCGAGCTCGATAAAGAGATGCAACCTTAGCAGATGCTAATTTTGCAATGGATTTGATATACGGTTTAAAAGAAAGATCAGAAGTAAGAGTTAATCCTAGAAGATGAATGGTAGATGACTCATCTAGTACATTACCATTCATAAATATAGGAAGATCTAAATTATTACGATAACGATTGGCCGAATAAAATTGAGTTTTATCTGAATTAAAGTTCACCAGCCACTGTGAGCCCCATGCTGTAGCAGAAGTGAGATCCTTTTCAAGCTCAGATACCCCCTCCAAGCAATCAGAGAGTGTAGGCTTCTTATCATGACAAGAGTAAATGGTAGTGTCGTCAGCGAATAATGCCACCTTAGATGTGAGAATATCTGGAAGATCGTTAATGTAAATTAAAAAGAGTATAGGGCCAAGGATTGAACCTTGAGGAACCTCTGAAGTTACAGGATGTGAAGAAGAGTGTTGTCCATCGAGGACAACTTTTATACTACGATTGGAAAGAAAGGACTCAATAATCTTAAAGGCGTTACCAGCTACACCATAAGAAGAAAGCTTATGGAGAAGACCAGCATGCCAAACTTTATCAAAAGCTTTAGAAATGTCAAGTGCGATAGCCTTAACCTCTCCACCTCTATCTAATGCACGGTAAAACCTATCGGTTATTACTGTTAGCACATCAGCTGTAGAACGAGAAGACCGAAATCCATATTGATGATTAGAAAGTAAGTTATTTGATTCAAGATGAGAGATTAGGTGTTTGTTGATTAAAGATTCAAAAACCTTGCTTATGACAGGAAGAAGACTAATGGGACGGTAGTTAGATGAATCAGATTGCTCTCCGGAATTTTTGAAAATAGGGATAACAGATGCTGCTTTCCAGCATGATGGAAAACAAGACTCTGATAAGCGCTTGTTAAATAGTTTAGAAAGTATGGATGAAAGCTCCGGAGAACACCTCTGCAAGACTACAACAGGAATGTTGTCAGGACCACAAGCTGTTGAAGAGTCTAAGCAGGAAATTACTTTAGATACAGAAGCTGAAGTGATGCGAATGTCAAGCAAGGGATTAACCTGTTTGACGGCTATGTCAGGTAAAACGCGACTAGTGGAATCAAGAGATGATATTGATGAAAAGTTCTTAGCAAACAATTCAGCTTTGTCTTTAGGTGAGGTGACAAAGTCTGAACCATACAAGAGAGAAGGAATAACAGATTTGCCCTTATTATTGATACTGTTAAAGATTCTCCAGAAGTCTCAAGAGCCTAATTTTTGTGATGAGATACGAGATTTAATGACCTGGGAATAGCGAGCTTTGGCTTCAGACAAAACCTTTTTACAATGGTTTCTGGCAATAGTGAACAGATGTCTGTTTTCTGGAGAATTGTTTTGCTGATAGATATGGAAGTAACGGTTTCGATTAGAAATTGCTGCAGCGCAATGTGAGGAAAACCAAGGAGAAGAGTGAGGCTTGACCTGGAATCGTCGAGAGGGAATAAAAGATTCCATGCCAGCCTGAATCCACGAAGTTATGTAAGAAGCACATTTGTCAGCAGGAAGACGAAAGATTTCTACCCAAGGGCCATCACGAAGAAAATCACGGAAAGAGCCCCAGTCAGCTTTAAGGTAGTTGTATGTGGTACGATAATAGGGGGATTCTGATGAAGTAGAAGAATTTGATAATAGTTTTAGAGAGATCAAACCGTGATCAGAAGTACCTAAGGGTGAATGTGGAGAAATTGAGCACTGACTAGGATCCAAAACAAGACATAAGTCGAGTAGAGAAGGTAAATGATTAGGGTTGTCTGGAAAACGAGTTGGAAAGTTGACTATTTGAGTTAGAGATTGAGAAAGGCAAAAGTTGAGGGTCTTAACGCCAGCAGAGTCACTGACACTAGAGCCAAGCCAATCGGTGTGATGGGCATTAAAGTCACCAACAACGACGATATTGGCCGATGGATAAAGAGAGAGGGCTTGGTCAATTTGATCAGAAATAACATCAAGAATAGTGCAATCTTGGGACGAAGGAGAGCGATATAGAACAAAGAGAAAGGCGATAGAGTGAAGTTGTGCTAAACGAAAGCACATAAATGAATAGTCTGTAGATTCAAACCTAGTTTCACGACAAATGGGTGAGTTCTTACGAATGTAGATGCCCAGGCCAAGCATGTGATTATTGGAGTCTTTACGAATTAAAGGAAGATAACCATCAACACTAAGATCACAAGATGGGACAGCCGAACTCAAATTAGTCTCACAAAGAGCAAGTAGGTCTGGTGAACTTTGCAAGAGATAAGACTCAACAGAAGAAAAGTTACTTCGAAGACCACGAATATTAGTAAATGATAGGTTTAGAGAACTTGGTGATGACGATGGTTTTTTGTGTTTTTTAGTTTTAGGTACTTTAGTCATTTTAAATTTATAAAGAACTTGACTCAAGTATAGATAGTACTCAGTACACTATTTAACAACTAAGCAATAGCCTCATTACTATTAATAAACCCTAAGCCGTAACAAAGGGCTCCAAATGTGGCCTCTGCAATGCACACCAAAAGTACAAACAGGGACACCATCCATGCGCAACATGGCACTGTTAGTACTCTGATATTTTTCGGCTGTTGATGAAATCAGCCTCTCTGAGAGCTACCACAGAGTTCGGGAAACCTGACTACCAGCCGGCCTCAGAACCATAAAACTGAGTTTTAGAGCTGTACCCTCATTAGGAGATAATAGAATGAGTTGCCCAGTCATAAAAATAGAGACACAAGCAATACCCACGCATTGAGTCAAGATATATTTGATATATGTATTAAAATGACATCAAGATATATTTGATATATGTATTAAAATGACATAATTTTTTTTTTGGGTACCCCTATGGTTGGTCCCAGCGGTCCGAAAATACCAAAATTTCTAATATTTGTAAATAATGAAGGGGGCAGGGTCACTTACAAATATTTCAAAGATATTTTAAGTGTCATTTTAATATCCTGATATATTTAATTTTAGATTATGTTTTGTTTTATTGCAAAAGATGATGGAAATAGTCAGTCCTACCCATTTAAATACATGCTGTGTATATTTGGGAGACGGGGGGAAAAGGGGATAGATTATATATATTTTTTCTACATAATTTAAATAAAAAATATTTTATATTTGTATTTAATTTTTAAAGATATGTTATTTTAAAGTTTTCAACCAAGATTTTTTTTCTGTTGTCTGAAATTTTAGACGATGATCCGCAACAACCAGTAAATTATTCTTATTTCTGAAAGTTTCAATGAAGTCTTGACCAAGTTTAATAGCACGTTCTGCACTGTCATTTACAACAAGAAGACCAGTGACATAATTTGTAAATCTTATATAACCCGAAAATGTTTCCCAGTTTGATGAATTGATTTTTAGCCATTCTGTCTCTTGTAATGTCATTTGTAATAAATCAAAGAAAAACCAGCTTTCAGGACCAATCAAATCTTCAATTTTTTTCATTGTCAGTAAAAATTTCGACATTAAGTTTTCCCATTTTATAACTGGTAGGTTTTATAACTGGTAGGTTTTATAACTGGTAGGTTTTATAACTGGTAGGTTTTATAACTGGTAGGTTTTATAACTGTTAGGTTTTACAACTGGTAGGTTTTATAACTGGTAGGTTTTATAACTGGTAGGTTTTATAACTGGTAGGTTTTATAACTGGTAGGTTTTATAACTGGTAGGTTTTATAACTGGTAGGTTTTATAACTGGTAGGTTTTACTGTTTGATCTAATTTAAGAGTTATTTTATGTAGCTAATCTACAGGTAAACATTTATCAGCAAGACACATAACCACAAACCTTTCATTTAAATATCAATTGTGTTTTTCAAGTGACTTCAGTACGTTTCTGCTGGTTTAAGATAGAGTTCAGAGTATTGTATCATTTCATTAACAGCTTTTAGATCTAAAGAAGGTGCTATAGCAAGGAAAGGAGCTTTAATAAACCATGTAACATAAAATAGTGCTGTAAATGAAGCAATTTCATAAATCAGCTTTCCCTCTTGCAATGGTATTATATTAGGACATAAGCTACTGAATTGTGGCTGAAGAAAGTCATATGTTAAAAAATAAATTCCCTGTGCCATAAACCTGGTATGATGTGAAGCCATTGGAAATCTAAAGTGAAAATTTTTTACTTTACCACCTAACCAAAAAACTGCTAATTGTATAAAATACTTGTAGTCATTTCTTGGAAACATATTATTTCTTGGAAACATAACATTATCAAGGCAAATTTGAAGGAATGTTAATGATTCAGAAGCCTAAAATAATAAAAAAAAAAACCTTATTATTAAAACTTGTAATCAAACACATTAATATAATTAGGACAATTAAACCAACCTGCTTTTCCAAAAAAGATACTAATTTTTTGAGTCAAATCTCTTTAGGTTATCATAGTTTATCTTCTTTTGAAGAACCAATTTCCAATTACACTTCAGTCTTTCAAATAACTCAGCCTTTGGTCCACTTGTTTTACCACCAGTAAGAACACTTGAAAAGTGCTGAAATATATATATTTCAAATCATTTAACTAAATTTTATAATAATAAGGTTAATCATTAAATTCATCAGGAAATTCACCATTAAATATATATATAAATATAAAAATATTTTATAATTTTTTCAATATTTACCTTTATATGTAATTCATAGACATGATAACGACAAGCCATCCAAAGCAAAGCTTTTCCTCTCCCCTGCTCAATTAGAGTACAGACCCCTTTTAGCCAACCAGTATTTGTGACTGTGGTGTCAAAGGACAGACAATCAACATAGTCAAACAGCTCCCAGTCTTTTAAAGTTTTTTTAATTGCGTTTCCAAGAGACTCAGCAGTGCCATCTTTCACAATTAAAATACCCAAAAGTTGTGATTCTGAAAGATCTGGTGAACTGATTAGTACAGCTACTCTTTCAACTTTTTCTTTACCAAGTTCTTTCATTTCTACCATAATTTTTGAGTCAAAATGCAAAGATGTAGATTTTTTTGAGTCAAAATGCAAAGATGTAGATTTTCTAGTTTTTAAATCTTTAGTTTTATCTTTCATAATAATATATTCACAATTGTTTTGACTTATGTCAAATACCTCCTCTAGCATTCTTGAAAAATTTTCTCTTTTTAAAACCAAATTCAACAATCTTGTCTCTAAAACAAAAATAGAAGAATGCATTAAAATTAATGTAATTTATAATAAATATATATAATTTTATGATTTTATAATTGTTACTTATATAAAATTAATTTGAAATTGGATAAAGTTAAAAATTTAAAATCATTTTAATAAAATAAAAACCTGATGTGCTTGTCAGTATTAGCGTAAGGAATTCCTGCTTTTGCCAAATTTTCTTCACCTCGTAAAGAACTCATGGTAAACATTTTTGGAGACAACCATCTATTTTAGTACATTGTGCAGTAAAAAAATTTCCTAGAGAACATGAAGCTATACTAACTGAAGAATTATTTGAAAAATTAGCTCTTAGCATAAGATCTTTGTAATGGTAATATTGCAATACGGTTTTTTTAGTTGGCAATTGTGTGATAGGTGTTGTTCCAATTCTTTTTCCAACAAGAAAAACTTCACAATGAGATATTTATTCTAAAAGTTGCTGCAATTATTTTATAAATGTAACAACTTAATCAAACAAATATAGAAAACAACTATTAGTATTAAAGTTTTTTTTTTTTGGTATTTAAATTTTAAAGAATGCAAGAGTAAAAGCATTTAATTTATTTTATTTAAAATTTATATTTAATTGCAGTTTTTGTGAAAAAACAAACTGTAACTAATAATTTGGCCGCCCACTATATATATATATATATATATATATATATATATATATATATATATATATATATATATATATATATATATATATATATATATATATATATATATATATATATATATATATATATATATATATATATATAATAAATAATATATATATATATTATTATTTATTATATATATTTAAATATAATCTTAAAAATCTTTTCGATTTGACTTTCAATCTTTAACTTTTATTTGTTCATTTCATAACAATAACATTACTATTACAACTTTTACCGAGTTTTTTTGTTAACTTCCCTTAAAGTTTTATTTAATTCATCGCATTATATTTATAGCGTTATTTATATGTTTGTAATTTTCATTTCATACAGGCCCGTTCTAAGCTGACCCGGGGACCCGGGGAAGAACTAAGTTGTAAAGCTTTAAAATCTTAATGTTATCGTTATCAGAGCGGTCCTTCTCTCATATTTTTTTGCTTCATTATTATTTAAATGATATGATGTTAAAAATAGAAAGCAAATATAAATTAATTTATTAATTTTGTTAAAATTTTTTTTCAAAAAATTTATTATTACTTTTTTTTACTAAACCTTTTTGTCGACTTGGTTGATTTCAAAAATGTGTTTGTCGATTTTAGCCGACTTTAGAAAATATATCAGTCGATTTAGTCGACAGCCCTAACAACGCTAGTTGAAAAAACGCAGACTGCTGTTGTTGTGAAATTTTATCCTTAAATGTGTTTTAATTTTTTTTAATGCGATGAAAGATCTTTTTGCAGTTGCCACGCTAACAGGTAATGTTAAATATAGCATAAGTGCTGCAATTATGTCAATGAGTAAGCTTATGTCACAATATGTTATCGTGGACACGGGTAGAACGAGGAAATGCGGAAAATTTTAATGAATAACATTTGGGATTATATTGAGGAAAATTTTTCCTAACCTTAACCCTATTACAGCCCAAACCCTCAGTCAATGTAGCACCACTTCTTTTTATGTTTCCATAAATTAATCAATGTATGTACTAAAGCCCCTAACTTTAATACTGCAGTTTACTTCCACACTTAACCCGTTAAAAGTTTTCGCGTTTTACCAACTCCTTGTTATTGTTAAAAATTTGAGCAAACCTATAATACTGTCTACATCTCAAATTTCCGAATTGAAAGATTTTTCCTTTAAGAAAAAGGCGTTTATTAAGTAGTAACTATTGTTTTACTAAAATAGCTTATAATGTAAAATAGCTTATTATGTAAAATAGCTTATTATGTAAAATAGCTTAATCATGTAAAATAGCTTAATTATGTGCTTTGCGTTAAAACGTTACAAAATCATATTTGCCACTTAATAAAACTGTCACTTTATTATTTATGAGTTAATGTAATTTGTTTTAATTTTTTAGATATAAAAAAAAAAAATTCCTCACTGTTCAGGACCGGCCCGTGGGTTTCTGACGCCCTAGGCAAAAGATCAAATTTGGCTCTCCCCTCCTTCAAAAAATTACCAAATTTTTAGAAAATTGCTTTTTCGAAAAAAATCAAGGCTACGAAAATTTTTGATGCAAAAATTTGACCAAAGGTTCGGAAAATGGATTTTTTTAAAACCTTTCAAGGCGACGAAAACTTGTGAAATTTTGATGCACTAAGGTTAATTACAATTTTGCTAAATAAGCACATTAATCTGTATGCCGAATAATTAAATACCATATATATTAGGAACCAAAGACAGCTTAGACAAGAATGTTCATATTTGTTTAAAACAACAAATGTTAAAAGAAATAAACTCTGCGAACTTTTACAGATACAAATCTATGAGCAAGAATGCCAATGTCAATTTTGGCAGCCATTTCTTGTTCCACTAAAAGAATTGCCAAGGCATTCAAACGTTGTTGATGCCTAGATGTGCATAAGTAATTTTTAATTAACTTTAATTTTGAGAAGCTGCGCTCTCCGGAAACAACAGAGACAGGCACTGTTAGCATGATGCGTAGGACAATAGTGAGATTAGAAAGCACAACACACATTCTTATTTCACACAAAAACTCCAAGATTTGTCTTGGAGACTTGAACAATTTAGTCCTCTGAGCAAGGCATTAGATTTCCTCATATAGCACCATTCCATTCACGTCTACTTTTTAACCGTGAGCCAGTGCCTTCTCCAATTTCTTACATTTTTCTTTCAGGTCTTCGGAAGGGATATTCAGGCAGTAGTTGAGAAATCCAAAAATATTGTTGTACTCCGTCAGTTGTCTAAAACGCTCTTCTACATATTGGATAACATGGCATAGAAGAAACTAATTTTAAAATTATGTGAGGGATTGAGTATTGGTTCGTCCACTGACTCGTACCCAAACAGTATACACAAAGAGTGAGATGTTTCTGGAGATCGAGAATCCAGATCCAGTTGCTTATCCTATTCATTTTCCTTGTATATAGCTTCCTGGAATCCACTGTCAGATCGGTATTTTCGGAGGAACTCTTTTGTCTTTTCAAGCTGTTTCTCTGCTTCATATATATACAGGGATGGGTATTGAACCATTTTGCTTGTCAAGTTGACATGGAAGAGAATTTTGTACCAAAATACCAAACCGGTTACAAACTTGAATAATATCACTTGACCTGCAATTATTTGTGCTTCGGCTTGTGTTTTGGTACCCGAGACTCCTTGGAGAGTTTGATTATTCGCCAATTGCAATTAGACATCATAAATTTGACCAATTTGGTGGCGCAAAGGCCGCACAGCGCTAACTCTGCTTTCCCATCAGATAGCGTTTAATGGCTTCACAGTCAAGGTAGTGATATGGTAGTTTTTAAGGACATACCACCGTTGCGTGGACGATGAGAAGAACACATAGATTGCCTGGATAAAACCAAAAAACCGTACAGCTTAAGAGCAGCAATTTGCGCCATCATTAATTACTAAATTTAGGGTGTGTGCGCAACAGGGAGTGTAGAATGCACGACAATTTTTGTCAATAACTCGATGTTGTAATCCGTTGTGTTTCCTTTTCATGTTAGCACCATTGTCGTAGCAACTTCACGTTAGTACCATTGTAGCCCTGACATCTGAGGTTGTCGAATGGCCAATAGTTCTCCTCCAACATTTTCAAAATGACATCAGTCATTCCTGCCTCGGTTAAATTCTCAATGGGAACAAATCCCACAAAATATTCACGGATTCTCACTAGTCCTGGTTGTGTACCATTACCATCAGAGTACGTAACAAAACGGATGATCATAGTCATCTGCTGAAAGTAATTTACAACAAAAACAGAACACTGTATTTTTGCTTGTGGAATAGACCAACCAAAAGTGGAGGACATTTTCTCCATTCAGAAGATGTCGAGTGTAGAAGTTAGGTGAAGACCTTCTCCCTGCACCATCTACTGGAAAATCCACATTCGTGACTTTCACAGGGCCTACTTTAACAATGGAAATTCTATGTATAGTAAAAAACCTGTGGCTACAATGCCGGATCTGTGAGATCATATTTATTTTCCAGGATGGTCTTAACTGATTAGGTTCCTTCGACAGTACTTTCCACATCGTAATGATCTAATCGCAGTTGCTCTTCCTCATAAGTGTCTTCATAACCTTCAGGAGGAGCAAACGAGATGGTTTCAGATACTGCAGCTTAAGATCCACTTTGTTGATTTGTTCTGGATTGTTTGTTCTTGTTTGTTGAATGAGCAGAAGGTCGACTTCCTTGATCATCAAGTCGTTGGTCATCAAAGGCAGTAGAACCTACAGATACAGAGGTTTCATGCTTAGCAGGCACAGATCCACTTTGCTGATCGTCCATAGGCTGGTCTCAACAGGCTACAGGGGTCGATTCTGCTTCCACAACTTTCTGCCATCGAAAAGTGGTTTCAGAAACTTCATAAGTGACCCTTGTTGACTTTCGTTGGCCTGCTCTTTTTCTATAACTATTTTACGGTTTTCACTGCCAGATAACTTTGATCAATGGACTTTTCTAAAATAAAGAAAATAGAATAACAGTTGACAAAATCAGTTTTGTATCAAAATAAAACTATTGTAGTTACTCCGTAACTACACTTAGTATCCTGTTTTTGTATGTACAATTTTATTTTATTTAATTTAACTTAAAAATGTTAAAACATTGTTGTCTTGATTAAGTAACAGTAATATTTTATTGTCGTTAAAACATTTGTAGAACTTTAAAATTTTTCCACATAAAAAATTTTTACACATTTTATAGAACGTGTTTTCAGAATTGAATTAAATTAACATCGTTGACAAGGAATTTTTTTCTTTCATTTCTTTGTTACATTCCGTAGATTTCCCAAATTCCGCACTTAAAGTTGAATAACTCCGCTTGTTTTTTGATTTTCTAATTAATTTTTTTGAATATCAATAAAAATCATATCTAGCAACAAGTACATTTATAATAAAAATGTTGTTATTTTTGTGTTGCGATGTTGCACTGTTAATGTTGCAATGATATATATATATACAGTGGCGGATTAAGACTTCTTGGGGCCCGGGGTTATTTTTGTTTTTGGAGGCCTTTTTATGGGCCAGAACCTAAAAATGACTTAAAAATAAAAAATAATAATAAAA